AAAAAAAAAAAAAAAAAAAAAAAAAGACCCCCAATGCACATGTAATGGGCTAATATGAGATATAAATGAAGTTAAGGGGGAAAGGGGTAAGCGTTTCCACTGTGCTCATGCCTTGAGACTGAACACAGGCCTTTCACAGAGCTGCACTATCCACCTTTCTGTTTTTTATTTTGAGATGGAGTCTCATCTCGAACTTCTAACTCTCCTGTGTCAGCCTAGCAGATTGCTGTGATTACAAGCAGGCACCACCACACACAGCATGTACAAACCTAACTTCTGACAATCACTATCTACGTCACCAACTCTAGACACTCTAGCATTAAAATTCTAATTATGCTAGTGACTGAAGACTGCTTGACAGAATTAAAAAGTCAGAAAAAACTTTCATACTCTTACTTCTATTCCTGCTTCAAAGCAAAAAGACAAAATTCATTTCCCTCTCTTCTAAGTAAGAGATTAGTACTTTAAAAAGATAAAAAAGAATGCTTCATGTTACAATCATGCCTAGAAAGCTAACCTCAGCAGGGCTGGGGATGTAACTCAGTGACAGAGCACTTACTATACCTGCCTAGCGTGCGCAAAGCCCAGGATTCAATCCCCAGCATCACAAGAAAAAGAGGCTAAACTCAAAAGTAATTAATTCTCAGTATAAAATTCACATCTCAGCTGGGCATGTGGCACACACCTGGAATCCCAGCACTGAGGAGGCAGAGGCAGGAGGATCGCCATGAGTTTGAGGCCAGCCTAAACTACATGGCAAGACACTGTCTCAATAAATAAATTAATTTACATCACATGTGTTTGACAAAATTAACATGAACATGAACATGAACAGACTAGCCTCAAACCCCAGGCCTCCCAGGTGCTGGGATTACGGGCATCACCACCATGCCAGCAACTATGGATTCCTCTCATATTCCAATGATTCAAGTACCCAGCTCCCTTTAAAAATGTTAGGAGTCTAATTTCTTTTTTTTGGTACCGGGAATCAAACTCAGATTCTTGTGATTGTGAGGCAGGCAGCGGAACCACTGAGCTAAATCCCTGGCCCCCTAATTTCTGTTTAAAGAGGAATCTGGCTGAATGAAATATACTAGCTCCTAGAACATCCATTATGACAGAGTGGTGTGAAACACACACTAACCACATATGCTACTCTGTATCTGACACAAAGCAGGTAGTAAATTAAATACGATTTCCCTCTGGAAACTTTTCCCCAAATTTTGTTGAGAGAAATTTAACTACCAAAAGGCAACATTTTTCAAATTTTTGTTTTTTACACAACTGAAATTTTATGAGCAGCCATCTCTTTATGTTTCCTGGATTCTTATCTGTGCTTCTCAAAAGCTGCTAATTTGCCTACAGAGTTAAGGTTTCTACTACCCAACACCAAACTAACCCACAAAAATATTACACCATATTAAATAGAACCAAGACTTAAACAATGTAAAATTGCACTTTACAAAAATCACACAGACAAAATTCCTAATGAAATGACACTACGTTGGCAGTACACATACATGACGGTTAAACCAGGAATATGTACTAGTTAGGCAGGTTACAACATGTAATTGAGTAGTATTTATGAATAAGCCAGGCATGGTGGCACATGCCCACAATCCCAGCTTCTCAGAAGGATGAGATGGGAAGATGGCAAGTTTGACATCAGTGTAGGCAACTGAGTGAAATCCTTTCTCAAAATTAAAAATAAATTGGCCAGGGATTTAGCTCCAGTGGTTCCACTGCCTGCCTCACATGTGCAAGGGCCCAAGTTCAACCCCAGTACAAAAAATATAAATAAATAAAATAAAATAAAAATAAATAAGGACTAAGGATAGAGCTCATTGACAGCAATTCTCTAGCATGCTCGAGGACCTGGGTTAAACCCTCAGTATTACCCCCCAAAAAACAAAAATAAACGAATAGTCACTGGTTGGTATATAACATATATATTTACATGAACGTAAGTAAGACAGTAGATTAGGGGGTGGCAAAGCTGGTTGGGGAAGTGGGTGTAACCTGTTAATTACAAGATCCCAGAACATGTGCACAGAACAGTTCCCAAAGCCCTGCACACGGACTTTTCCCAAGAACTCCAGTACATTTCCAATAGGATGGCCTAGATCTGACATCAGCCTGAGGTGTGAGATCCCAGCACCACCTCTCAGGACCCATACGTAGAAGCTCATGGGTTTCCTGAGATTTAGACAGCATAAAAGCACACAGACACCATGAAGAGCTGTTCACAGTGGCTTTCCTCACGATGGCCCACCCTGCTTCCTCTAGGGTGTAGCTTTTCTCTTTTCGCCCTACACTTGCTCTGCAGAGCCAGTTCCTCCAACATTCTTCACTTTTACTTTTTCAAATAAAGTTTGTCACTACTGTTTTGCTCATTTCATTCAATTCTTTGCTTGAGACAAGAAGAACCTAGAATCCAACTCCAGAAGAAGCAAGCAACCTTAAAACCTAGTAACATTTATTTGGCAAGCCACTTTCAGAAGCTACCCAGTAACATAAAAACTGAAAGAAAACAAATTTTCTAATCAATAGAAACATCCTAAATCTCACAATACAATAAATTGGCCAACTGCTATTGGGCTGGATATGGAGTTCAGTGGCAAAAAAATTTGCCTAGCATTCAAAACACCCAGGATTTTACCCCCAGTACCACCAAAAAAAAAAAAAAAAAAAATTCAAAGGAAGCATCAAGCAAGGTAGAGTATACCTATAATCCCAATATTTGGGAGGCTGAGGCAGGAGGATCACTCAAAAGTTCAAGACTAACCTGGGCTGCATAGTATCAAAGCCAGCCTAAACTATACAGTAAGATCCATCTCAAAAAATTTTTTAAAAAGGAAACATTTAGGAAAGAGCCATCTTGTACCAGTGTGCAGAACAGTTTTATCATCAACAGCAGAAACTGAGAAACTTACTGGGAAGTAAAGAGGTCTCAATCTAGGTTACACCAGTAGACTTAAGGACAAATGGGCAGTTTTGGGCTGTTCTGTTTACAATAATAGGGTCAGAATACAGAATCACACAAAGGTGCATCTCCGGTGCTGTTTTTATTTTCTATTTTGAAGATTCCACTAAGTCCCTAAATTGTCCAGGGTAAACTCAAACTTGTGATCTTCCTTCTTTGGCCTCCTAGACTGCTGGAATTACAGGCATGTACCACCACACCCAGCTCAAAAGGAACAGACTTAACAATTACAGCAGCAAGGGCTGGGGATTTAGCTCAGTAGTTCCACCAGCTGCTTCACAAACACAAAGTCCCAAATTTGAACTCTAGTACCAAAAGAAAGAATTTATTTGGGCTGGGGATTTAGCTCAGAGGTTCTGCTGGCTGCCTCACAAATGCAAAGTCCCGAGTTCAATACCCAGTACCAAAAGGAAAAACAAGCCAAAACAATTACAGCACCAAGAAAGAAGTTACATCAAATATCACAAAGATTTCAGATAAGTACCCCAAGCAGATAGAAAAAAATAAAATACTGGGTTTTGAGTCAGTCAGTAGGGTCCTGTTCGAATCTGCGCTGTGTAAGTTAGTGTTTCTGAGCCACGGTTTCCTCAGACACAAAGAGATCTGCTTGTCAGGGTGCTGAATTCAGCAGGCACGCAGTAAACATCACTCTGCCTCCACTCTCCTCTCTTTATGCCTCACCTGTTTCAGAACTGAAGACAGCACACAGGTATTCTGTCTACCAGGAGTTATTTTAGAACAGATAAAACTCACTCAGTGAGAAAGGAAATATTTATTCAGTAGCGTACAACTAGTTACCTAGTTTCTGCTGGCACCAGAAGGCAGAAACACTGAGCATAAAACATATAAAAAGTGGCGGGACACTGTGAACACAGAATCTCTTTAAAGACCTATTAAGATCTCCATCCTAAATTCAAAAACACTGAAATTTGACTGTTTCCTTAAAAACGTTAAGTGGACAATCCATTTTTAAAAGACACTTTTAACATGAGTTCCAAATTCTAGTGGAGACTGAATTTCCAAATGAGGATATTTCCATTGGGGAAAAAAAATGAGTACAAGTTTCTTCTTTGACACAAACTGGGGAACTTCTGCCAGTCAGTCAGTTTACTCACCTTCCAAGTGCATGGAAATCTAGACGTAAAAACTGGTCCTCCTGTGAAACTGCTCTTTTGGCACGCTGGTGTTTTTGGTGTAATGAATCCACATTATAAGATAATCCTTCATAATGTCTAATATATTTGTTTAGAGGGTTTCCATACTGACCTATAAAAAAACAGACAATTTAAATTAGTACCTTTTTTTTGAGACAGGATATTGCCATGTAGCTCAGACTGGCCTCAAACTTAAGATGCTTCTGCTTCAGCCTCCTGAGTGCTGAGGTTACAGATATGCACCACCATGACCGCTCTTAAATTAATATCATCATAAAAGCCCCTTTTAGTTCTAATGAGTCCATAATTATTCAAATATGTATTGAACTGTCTCACTAAGCTCATACTAAATAATATATGAAGTCCTCAAAAGTAATATTTTCTTTTCACATTTGTTTTATCTGGTGGTGCAGTACTGAGAATTTACCCAGCAGGTCTGCATTACTACTCTTTTTTAAATTCTTATTTTGAGACAGTCTCCTAAATTGTCCCTCAGTGTTGAGACTAAAGGTATGGATCACCATGCCTGTTTTTCCCATGCATTACTATAATGGCAATTTCAATTATATACAAGTCTGGGCATTAGCTGTAGGCATCTTAGATACCAGGTTGAGGAAGTTAATTTTTATCATACTTCACTGATAAAAACTATGAGGGAAAGCTGGGAATTTAGCTCAGTAACACCCCATCTGCCTTGCAAGTACAAGGTCCTTCCTGAGTTCGATCCCTGGTACAAAAACAAACAAACAAACAAACAAAAAAGGGGTAGTGATTTTGTTATTTGTTCTTTCTGGATCTACTAAAATAATCTTGGGTGTGGCACACATGCCTGTAATTCTAGCTATTCAGGGGTCTGAGACAGAAGGATCAAAAGTTTGAGAGCAACCTTGGCAATTCAGGGAGTCCCTGTCTCAAAATAAAAATTCTAAAAAGTGATGGAGATGTAGCTCAGTGTCAAAGCACTGGCCTAGCATGCTCAAGGCCCTGGGTTCAATCCCCAGTATCCAAAAA